ACTCAACTTTAAACAGATAAATTCTTAGCCCTAACTTCTACATCAGCCTTGTGCCTAGAACCTAGAGAAATACGCATTATTTTCATACAATACAAAACATACCATCTCCCCCACTTTAGGACAGGCTATTATTAACCCTCACATCAGTGTTCCGCTACTTTTATAAACACTAATTACTACGCTCTTAACCTGTGCTCCCCACAGAATAAGATTCCATATCTTGTGAAGAAGGGGGAAGACTGCAGAACTGCCAATACTCCTCCAAAGACAGAGACATTGCATCAAGTTCTCAGGACTTTAGGGCTTATTGCTCTGTTTCATACTGCATCTTCCTTTGCAAAGTACAGCAAATACTCAGGAGTTTCTTTACAAGGCAGCACTATTCTTACTGACTTTTTTCTATATTTTTCTGATTGTGGACTCAAAGAATATTATCATCATGACATTATTCCTCTCTGTGATATAAATTAAGCAACAGAAAATGGCTCTAAATATACCAGGTTTAGTATCTACGAGTGGGTTTTTTATACTAACTTTCGCTGCTGGAATTTGGGCTTCTTGGAAAAGCAAAAAAGATCAGCAGAACAGGAACACAACAGAAATGGCCATAGTTGGAGGCCAGAATATAAATGTTTTCGCTGGATTTTTTACTGCAACTGGTAAGTTTTCTTTTCTTTTCAAATTTCCTCTTAAAGCACTTGTATTATATAGAACTGGGTGACTTTTCTTTCAAAGTAAGTTAACTTCTTTAATGTCAGGGTAGATTTTACCTAAGTGTGACTTTGAAAGGCTACAGCTTCATGAATCATTTTGGGATGGATTCTTCCAAACCTCTTCACACTGAGCAGAACCTAATGTTTATGTAGATGCTTTTAAATTAAAGAGATTCATTTAAGAGTTTAGTTAAGAGTTAAAGAGTTTAATTTAAGAGTGACTGAAGTATATGACAGTTTTCATTAAGGACAACTGTGGTCTTATTCTTGAACCAGTTTCTGTTATCCAGCATTGCAGAACAATTTTACTCCTGGAACAGTCTAGCTCTGTGTGGAATAAATTGCCACTCCTGGTGACCATTGGACTCTCTCCTAAAGAAAAAATGTTTCCCCACTGACTGCTGCCCTCTGCTCCCCTTTACTCTCTTTGCTGCATGGTGTCATCTGAAATTTGCTTCCCTGACCTGTTTTTTTGTGAAGGCATTCCCAAATGGTATTTGCCTAAGACACTTTAGCCAGTGTTGTAGGTTTGTTTTCTGACTGCAATGTCTGCTTGCATATTTTTTCTCTAATGTCCATTTTCTTATACCATGTAAGTGATGCTCATGAAGGATGGTCAGTCAGTCATGGCAGAATAACAAAGGCAATTCTGCTTGCTGTAGCAAAAGTCTTCCTCTGAGAAAAAAAAATAAATTAAAAATTAATATATTCAAATTGCCTCTAAATGTTTAAACTCAGCAGCACATCTCAGCATGAGAGAAAAAAAGAAAATAGAAGTGTGATTAAATATTTGTATGAGAAAAAGGTTTACAAGCTCTCACAATGTTCTACAAGACTAGCTGAGAATATGTATTGACGCTCTCATCTTCTCATCTTCCACATTTACAGCCACTCAGGTTGGAGGAGCATATATCAATGGCACAGCTGAAATGGTCTACCTGCCTTCAAAAGGATTATTGTGGGTCCAGGCACCTGTGGGATTTGCCTTGTCCCTTGTTGTTGGTAAATAATTCATGCAATTAGGACGCATAAGCTTTAAAAATATATCATATGAGTATATGAAGATATCTAACAGAGTATAAAGTACATTTTAAAGGTGGTTTTGATTCTTCAGTTTCCCATAGAGCCAGAATAAGCATTTATAATGCTATCCTCTAAACTGAAGCATAACAAGTTAGGGTAGCTTGCCACTAGTGTAGACTTTTGTCTGCTTGGAGCAACTTACAGGACTAAAATCTTATCTGGCAAGTTTAGAAGACTGTGGCTATGTGCATATTGCCTTTTTAACATGGTCTCTTACTTACAGACTATTGAGAATATTGTTATCTTTTTTCTTTGAAATTTCTGTGGGATGAAATAATACTATCATGATTTTTCCTCTAAAGTACGTTCTTCTGAGTAGTGTCATCTCAGGACAAATGTTGTACAAGTTTCAAGCTGGCTTCCCGCCAAGTCTCCAAAACTCAATGACAGAGACTGCTTCCCAGAGAGGGAAGGAAAAAAACTGAACAGCCAAAGCTATAGCAAAAAATATATATTTTACAGATAAAACAGATCTTTACAGTGAGAATACTATATACATATAACCCCAGAAACCCCAAATAGCTTTCTAAAAGGGAAGAGGGGAAGGGAGAAGGGAAAAAGGACAAAAAAAGGACAAAAAGGGACAGAAACAAAACAGGTATGCACAATCTAAAAACCTGGTAACCAGCAAACTAAAGAACTGGTAAAATCTCACCACTTCCCTTGAGAAAAGCAGGACAGTCAGACCGCGGCCCAGCACTCTCCCCTCCCGCAGCGGCAGACAACAGCAGTCGATACAGGCCTCAACTTCAGATAAGCAAGACCACGTAGGGATCTACTGTTCTCGAACCTTGCTGGAAAAGAAGAGAGCAAGGTCTCTCTGGTCAGCTTACTTATACCTCAGGTTACGTAAAGGAATAACATGGAATACTTCCTTGGTTACTTTCCTAGTTCCTTCCTGGTTACAAGCTGGTGTCCAGGAAGGCCTAGGGTGAAAACTATCACAAATGTGTAGTGCATCCAGCTTATCCCACTTCACAGCTGGTCACTACTGTGTTGTAACTAAGTTAAATGTGAGTTGTCATTTCTAACTCCGAGAATTATTGAACTCGTGTGAGTTCAATAACTCAGTGTTGAGGTTCAGCTGTCTTGCAAGAACAAAGTTTCTTCCAGGCCACACTGTGTTATACCATAACTCTCTAGGGACACAGTATGATGAAAGCAAGGAGACCTGTGCGGATCTTACATAGGAATTTCTAAAATAACAATGACCTTTATTCTCAAGTCAAAGAAAGGAGTCCAACTGACGTGAATATGAATCAGGCTTGGAAATATATTCCAAGCATTGCTAATGTGAGTAATTCTTACTAATGAAATTGAGGAGTGCAGGTCCGATCCTGCAATCTTTGCTCAGGTCAGCAGTGCCCAGACAAGCAGTCCTGTTGGCTTCAGGGTTAGGCACTACACGTATTCTTTGGTTTAAATGAGATGGCTGCACATCTGAAGTCTAATATTTAGATGAAGGTGGGTGGGACTCAGCTCAACATGCAGATCAAAACAATATAGTTCTGGGAAGAGGCAATGAAGCCACCAAAACGAAAATGCAATCAGAAAAGGAACATATATCAACATGCTGCCTCACATGGCCAAGGACAAAAGTTTGTCTCTTTTTTAGCCAAATATGAGTCTCTGCCTACTGACAGTTTCCACAGAATGCAGTTCAGAAAACTTTATGTCTCATGTTGGTAGGTCATTGGGGATGGGGAGAAGGTTATATGTGGGTATCCTCTGAGCTAAGTTCCTGTTACAGTCACACAGGTATCTTACGCCATTTGCGGTGCCCTAGGGGGTCCTACCAGGCCTCCAGAAAGATGTAGGTGTGCCAAAGTGGATGGTTGTATCTGTCAGCTGTAAGCAGATATCTTTATAATCTGGGACCTCCCAGATGGACAACCCTCCCATGTTTAGGTAAGTGAATTTAGGCCCCGGTGTCTAGTTGGCTGCATCATTCTCTAAGGTCCATTTTATATGAATTCCACACTCACTATATGGGTCTGATACACAAATACCATATTATTCTTACTTTTTTTTTCCTAGAATATAAAACATGTCATCACTTCTGATAGGTAGTTACTTCTTTGTAAATCCAATGAGATCCAAGAATTATGTGACAGTGATGGACCCCATAAAAGAAACTTATGGGAACATGATGGGAAGCTTACTCTTCATTCCACCAGTGCTAAGAAAGGTGTTCTGGTTTGCAGCTATCCTGGCATCTCTGGGTAAATACTTACTTTCCTGTTATATTTGTTAGTGTTGCACAACTGTCAGAGTATAAAACACATTTGGGAATTGTGTCGGATTAAGCTGTGGAAAGCTGTGTTTCATGTCTCCTTTTGTGAGAGAAACAACCATTTCTTATTCCTGGAAAATATATTTTTAGGTTTAAAACAAATGACAGTAGTATATATTCTTTATATTATAATAGAGAGCTCTGGCAATATGAGTTTGTACCTTCTTCTTGCCTGTGGGAGAGCAGATAAAAAAAGGCAAAGTGCCTTGGCAAATGCCACACAGCAATGTACCAGCAAGAGCAGAAAGGGAACACGGGCTCTCCCAAGTTCTCACTCATTGCACTCTCTGTAGACCGCCTTTCTTATGTAGTGTGGTGTGCTGGCATCAAAAGAATAACATAACCATATTTATTCTGTATTCTGCACATATTAAATCTGTCTTAAAATACTTGACTGCCGTTCTTCTCTGCAGGAGCAACAATGAGGGTCATCTTGGATATTGAAGGCTCTTTGAGTATCAGTGTCTCAGCATGCACTGTCATACTTTAGCGTTATGGGAGGTCTCTACTTTGTTTTTCATTTTAGAGTATAATCTAGCTAACTTTGTGTAGACTTATTTACAAAAGTGGTATTCCTGAAAAAATTCACTTTCCCTTCTTCTGTGCCTGATTCACTATTCCAAGCACCTTATTCAGTATTGCAAGCAACCTATTTTTCAGCTTTCTCTCTGCCAAACCATTAACCTGTTTTCATTAAAATTTTACATTCATCACAATGAAAACAAAAGAAAAGGACATCCTCAACCATAAGAAATACCATCCTCAAGAGTTAGAGCTGGGCAACATTTATGCATTTGAAATGAAAATTTTATAACACTAGAGATTATTATCAATCTGGATGGATGGATGATGCCCTACAGCAGCCAGTAGCCTGGTGAGTACCACTGGTAACATCTGAATATTTCAGGTGCCTGGAAGCATCCCATGGCAAACCTACTTCCAAAGGGTGCTCTCTGCTGCCTCGACAGGACAGACATGGCTCATCTCCTACATCTCAGGATTCAGATGCTTTGCAACGGCCATACTCTCAGTGCTCATTGGTGCAGCCGCAGCATCAACAGGTAAAACTAATTGTTATCTCTGAATAATTAACATGCTTTTGTCAAAAGTGATTAAAATGGGATCCAAAGAAGTCCTGATTTAGACTTCAAGTTACCCAGTCCTGTGGCCCTGGCCACCAAGATGAGTGATCTCTACCAGAAATACGGAGCCCTCTGAGGTTCAGTGCTCAACTACCTAAAGACATTTAAACAGCCCCAAGACCTGTTTAAAGCTATTTCATTATGATGATATGACTTTTCATGGACTTTGTGTTGAGGAAAATTGTAAAACCCTGTATAATCCTATTTTAGAAGAAAGCTTATGCTTCCTTCTGTTAATGCCTTACACATGTAAGACCCAGCAATATTACTACAGATTGTTAATAAGATTCTGAAGAAAACTCACTTGAAGGGAGCAAGAAATTCAGTCCTGTAAACTCACAGCCTCCACCCAGGGGATCAGTCCTGTGTTGGTGAGCAAGGGTTGAAGAGCAGACATATCACTGAACATTTAAGGAAACCAGTTGAAGTCATGAGTTCATCTGTCACTAGGGACATCAGAGCAAAACACCCTTCTCCTGTGAGCCGGGTCTAGAGGTTGACCTTTAACTATCCCAATTCTGGAAACACACAAAGCACAGCTGTATCTAGAGATGCTGCAAAGGAAAAGGAAAATCTTTGATCTAGTGAGAGCTGCAGTATGCTAAGGGGAATCCCAAGAGATCACAAAAGAACCAAAAAAATTAATCTAAGTCCTAAAATACCAAGTGGGTCTCAGTTCTTAGCCCTGCTGTGACTGGTCCTTGTGATAAGGCAACTTCAAAGGCAGCAGCAATGTCCATGGAGGATTTATTGTGACTTTTCCTTGTTTTGTTTAAAAGACTGGAATCAGACAAGCTGTAATCTTCCAAGTCCGAGAGAGGGGAATCAGCAATGATACTACCACTTGTTTTGCACTCTCTCTACCCAGCATATACCTCCATTGCTGGCTTGGGAGACATTGCTGCTGCCACAATGTCTTCTGCAGATTCAGCTCTTCTCTCTGCTGACTCCATGTTCGCTCACAATATCTACAGGAAAATCCTGAGGAAAAAGGTACTTGGTTGCAGCATTCAGCAGTTTTGGTGTCAGGAAAGACAGCCTTGTTTCAAGACTATTTCTAATCCAGTCCATGATTGGAGGTATCAGTCCCTCAGCTGCTGAACTAATTCCTGGAGCTAGAGCTCCAAGCGTAAGTCAAGGGTGTTCATATCCTTGGTAGGGGTACCAATGTCCATACTGGTGAGCTTTGCTTATTCTAATACAACTGGTATAAAATTTGGATTAATGTCTTAATGGAAAAAGCATAAAACAAGGACCCTTAAAAGTCCAGAGGGCAGCTCCATCTCCAGGGGTGCCTACCTTGGGTGGCTGCTGGTAGCAAGTAGTGCCTGAAAGCATCAAGGGCTTGGTGAGCACCAGCCCAGGACAGGGCAGTGCTGGCCATCCCACCAGTAAATGTCATGACTTTAACGCCACAATCTCTGTTTTACAGGCTACAGAGATAGAGGTGTTATGGGCTATGAGGACCTCCATGTTGGTGTTTGGGGCTGGGGCTGCCAGTCTGGCTTTTTACTCCTGCTCTGTCCATGACCTCTGGTTCCTCAGCAGGGAGCTGGTGCAGGCCCTCCTCTTCCCCCAGTTCAGCTGTACCCTCTTCACTCCCAGCACCAAAACCTACGGCTCAGCTGCTGGATTCTTGGTTGGGCTCCTGCTGGGGCTACTAGCAGGGGAGCCTGCCCCGAGTATCCCCCCTGTCATCTGCTACCCAGTCTGCTCCCTGGTGAACAGGATCTACAGCCAGGTCTTCCCTTTTAAAACATTCACCATGCTTCTCACCTTCAGCACGATCCTTGCTGTTTCATACCTGGCCAAGGTTTTATTTCAGAGAAACCTCCTTCCCCACAGGTGGGATGTTTGCAATATCATAGGGGGAACCGGTATCCTCATCCTCCTGCAGCAGATGGAGAAACAGAGGGGTTCACCAACCATTGCACTAGAAGAAAACCGTGGCTAAACGTGGGGCTTCATTTGAAAGGCCACTGTGCATTCAGCAGTTAGAGTAAGGCACAAACAGCACAGCTCTTCCCTTTGCTCTCTCTGGTGTGAATTATTTAAAGTTCTCACAGAGCAATAAAACCAAATTCTGTTTACGTGTGAGCTTGAAGTCTGCAGTGATTAAAGTCACATGGTGATGGAGCACAATCTTGTGGTGGTGACCACAGGGTGGGCACCTCAGGCCCCGGCAGTGGTTGCTTCGAGGTGCTCCGGGTACCCCACCTGAAAGCAAAGCTATAAATCATGCTCCAACATTTAGGGCATTCCCAAGTCACATACTTTTCTCACCACAAAAGAGACAAATTAATGTTTAATAGATTGGATATTCTTGATTTAAAAAAAAAAAGGTGGGCAAACCTGTTTCCATTACACAGTTAGAGGTTTAGCATAACCATCCTTGGGGAGAATATCAGACCTATAAAAACACAGATTACTGAAAGCAGTGCAACCACCACAGTAGTCCAGCAGTAATATCAGCTCTGCACCATTCCTTATATGCTTTACAAAGCTTTCCTTGACACAGCAAAAACTTTTGCTTATGCCTCTCCCCACTGTGGTACCAGGCCACACAGCCAGTGTGGATCCCACAGCCTGGGGATGTGCAAGACGTTGTCTCTCATATGACCTGAAAAGGCAGAAGCAGATGTGCAAGATGAAGCAACAACTCTTAATTATTCAATAAGCCACTATCTCAAAAATTTAATCTGTAGCTGTAAAATTAAGTACTTTATTAGAAATTGTTAGCCATAGAATCTAAAACACCTGGTAAATCACTCATGTGACGGTGTTACTCTAGCACAGTGATAGGATGGTAAGGGACACACACACAGACCGCTATGTGAGAACTCAAAGGACTGCGATGACAGAAAGGTGCTAGAAACTAATCCTGAACCTTTCTGCAGGGACATGAAATCCCAAGGACAAGATCCCAAAAGAGTCAAGCCACAGGACAGTACAAAAAGCCCCTGATACCTTGTTTGCATAAATTCTCAATGGCTCGGAAGAGAAGGAACTCAGCTAAGTAGCGAGTTTGGCCTCTAGACTGAAGTCTGATGGACTAAGAACATCCCACAATGGGTAGGCCATTAAGATGTGAGATGAATTAAAGATTCAGGAGGATCCTGCAGCAGCGGCTCACAGACAGCTGTCATTTTATACTTCCCTCAGCAGGTGTGCAGCAGCTCACCAGGGATCAGTTGCAATCCACCCACAACAGTCAGCAGGAATCATGCTCACAATACCTTTACGAAGTGGTTGTGGAAGCTGCTGTGCATGAAAACATCTACACTGTTGAAGGGAAGATATTTACTGGCACAACCAAAATACCCTACAGCAGAGCAACCCTCACAGCCAACTGAGCTGCTGAGGGTGAAAACAATATGCTGTTCCACGAATTGCTTCCAGCATGTGTATGCACGAGGAGAGAAACTCCACTGGTGCCACGACACACGGCTGCACCAAGGTCAGCGAGGAGCCACAAGTCACTCTAAACTATACAAAGGTAAGTGTTATGGCTCAGGAGGAGGACTGGCAGCTCTTTGCTGTAGATATGGCTTTGATGACTCTGCTCCCCATGGGGAGCATTCATCTCCTTTAAAATATCCATCCTCAGTAAGGTAGGGATTCTGCTCCCCATCAAATAAATATCACACAACCTTATGCTTTGCCCTAGTGTTAGTGAACACCTGGAAACACTTAGCTCCCCACGCACAGCAGTCTTGTTTATATGCTTTATTAAACCAAGACCAGAAATTCTTTCCTATGTCTCTAGAGACTGCCATGAAATATTAATTATAATGCCTAGAAAATGGGAAAAGAAACTTGTTTTGAAAATTAAAAGCATTATCATTTACTATGGCCCTAGGTGGTCACCCACTGAAATCTTCCACACCCCAGTGATTTGAGTGGGAGCATGTGAGGTTGTGCTTAGCTAAGGGAGACATCAAAGCTATCATTATCTCAGCACCAGAAGAACAGGGCTCTTGTTAAATCGCAGCTGCTGTATGCTGATTCAGTCATACTCCCCTGTAAGATATAGGGCTGACCTAGTCTGGGGACCTGTAACTCCCCCTGTATGGAGCAGACCAAAGCTGACATACTGCACTTGAACCAGGGCACAGATTTGCTGCATGGCCCAGCTGAGAGTGAAACTGATGTCCTCATGCCAAAGTCAGCACCCTGCTCCCTGACCACAGAATTATACTATGGTTAGGGTTGGAAGGGATCTTAAAGATCATCTAGTTCCAACCCTCCTGCCATAAGCAGAGACACCTGCCACTAGACCAGGTTGCTCAAAGCCCCATCCAACCTGGCCTTGGACACTTCCAGAGATGGGGCAGCCACAGATGGGCAACTTCTTCAAGTGCCTCACTGCCCACTGAGTAAAGAATTTCTTCCTAATATCTAACATAAATGTACCCTCTTTCAGTTTAAAAACATTGTCCCTTGTCCTGTCACTATCTGCCCATATAAAAAAATCCCTCTCCCTCCTTTTTACAAGCCCTCTTTAGGTACTGGAAGGCCACAATAATATCTCCCTGGAGCCTTCTCTTTTCCAGGCTGAACAACCCCAACTCTCTCAGTCTGTCTTGATAGGAGAGGTGTGCCGGTCCTCTGGTCATCTTTGTGGCCTCCTCTGAACCCACTTCAACAGGTCCATGTCCTACCTGAGCTGATAACCCCAGACCAGGATGCAGCACTCCAGGTAGGGTCTCACAAAAACAGAGTAGAGGAGCAGAATCGTCTCCCTTGACCTTCTGGCCACATCTCTTTTGATGCAGCCCAGGAGCCATCCCACACAGCAGCTCTGAAAGGCAAATGTCTACATCTTGAGATACTTTTTCTCTACACCGTTGTGCTCAACTTCTCCGGCTGCTTCCCCACAGAGTCCCAAAGTTTGACATTAAAGCCTTTCTGTGCTAACATGCTTGGCGTGGTGGACAGTAGATCCACAGCTTCCCGAGAGAGTGTCAAAGGACACTGCTAAAGAGCGTCACCACCACCATCATGTTACCACCCAGTGTTACCACAGAAACTCCCAGAGACTTCAAATAGGAACATCTCAGCACTGTAAGGGGGCATACTCAGCCATACTCTGCCCTTTCAAAGCCTCCCTAAATTTCATACCACTAAAAATGCTCGGCTTTGTGTGAAGAGAGGAAAATGGCAAATACACAATTACTGTAGCTCTCCTGAATGTTTACCATTTTCCATCCTTTTATGACTCCCTCCTCAGAACATCCTCCATCAAGCTTAAAAAGAAAACATTAATCAAGGTCAGACAAAGTTTTGAAAGCAATTAGCTGCAAGTAAAATAAATATAAAAGTAATTCTAGCCTATACTTAATGACCAAATGCCTAGTTGTTCCAGTCCAGCACACCCAAAGTCCTTGAGGTGTTGGATGGGGGAAAACAGCCCAGCTCCCAGGAAAGTCTTCTTCTCATAGGAACTGCCTCCAGTTCAGTATTCCTTTATTTTTCTTTCTCCCTCTTTATAAAAAATTCATTTGGTCACTGGAGGGCCTCAGTTTACTTTTCCACATATGGATTTATCTCCTTTGACCCTTAGATGTGTCCATGCCAATGACTCTGTTCAGTTTCAGTTTTCATAAACTTTCCTCAGCCTAGACAGCTGCTACCTGGTTTTGGCATTTTTGATGTTTTCTGACTTTAATAATACCCTATCTGTCATGTTTAACTAAAAAAAAAAACCAAACCAAAACAAACAAAAAAACCCCAACAACCAAAAACCAACCAAACAAACCCAACCAAACCAAACCAAAAACCAACCCAAAACCAAAAAACCAACCCAGCCTGCAATTTGGGAAGCATTTGGTTTACTATGAGTTCCTGGTATCTCATCAGATCCTCACCAGGCATCTTCAGATGTCTCATTTATGTAGACAAGAAAATCAGGAAGACAACGCTACTGAAGGGAAATCTGCATCTCTTTCCTTTTTCACTTATTAATTTTTAGGATTTCCTAAATGTGTCCTCAATGGAATAACAATTGCATTCAGCAAGAAAGCAAACGAACACACGCAGGTTTGCCAGACATTTCTAGCACTGCCAGGAAGATACTTCCAGGTGAACTATGAGCTGCATGGGGCCAGGATGAACCTCTCATTGTTTCCAAATTCTGTGCTCTCTGGCTTTTCCCCACATGCCACACACCAGTCTCGCCTTGCAGTTCTTAGACTTTGCTACAACCTCTGCTGCAGAAAACATCACCTCAGTTATCAAAGCTTTTTAGTCTTCTAATAACTTTTCCTGCTCTAGACTACCACTGAGTTTTGTGCTCTTCTAAGAAAAGAAGAATTGAAAGGCATTAATCTCCCACAGCAAAGCAATTGTAAATATGTTTAAAAAACAGATTTCTTTGCTGATCCTTAAAACGTCAAGATGATTCATCATCCCCAGGGATGGGAATGCTGTTGCATGGCTTTCTCTGCCTCCAAGTAGGGACAGGATCACCTTTGTGTCTAGAATTTGGGCTGTCCGGAATAACCAAAAGAAGTAGAATAACATGAACTAGAGTAAGGTTTATACTATCAGACACAAAAGCACGAACATCCCAAAAGATGTACAGATAAATTTTTTTCAAATTCTGCTGGGAAATGTCTTTCTTCAACATTAAACAACCTCAGAAACAAACAGTCTCGATTCTTCGGCCAAAAGGGCAAATGGTTGTGTTTTTTTAAAAAATCTTTTGGCAGGTCTCTTGCAGTACCTGTCTTGGCAGAGGTGTCCATTTTCCTCCTTCCCTCCTCAGTTTTCCTCCACCAGCTGTCTTACCTGACCCTGAGGTACTGTTGCACGAGTTTGACTTCGCAGATCTCCTTTAAGCAACACACTTGACTGACTCGTGCTTTGCTTACCCAGTCCCTTGAAGAGGGACAGCATTTTAATTCATTCTGAGAAGGATTTTGAGATCTTTGGAAGAATGCTCTGCTACATACAGTGAACAGTCTTTTTGCATCATGTGAGAATTTCTGCCCACAGCTGGAGGGCAGTTTTCCCCGTCAGTTTAATTCCCATGCTGGACTAGTAGAAGTTATTTATCTTTACTTTAGCAAGACTTTTAACACTGTCTCTAACAAAATCTTCAAAGGTAAGCTGATAAATTACAGGTTAGATAAGTGGACAGTAAGATGGACTGAAAAGTGGCTGAACTGCCAGGCTCTGTGATCTACAGCAATGGTTTTGGATGCCAAAACCTAGTGTGACCCAGGGTTTAATGCTGGGCCCACTGCTGTTTAGCATCCTCACCAACGGCCTCAGTGTTGGGGCACAGCAGATTCAGTGAGTTTGCAGACCATACAAAACAAGGATGAGTGGCTGATACAAGAGATGGATGTGCTGCCATCCACAGGAACCTGGACAGGCTGGAGAAACTGATTGACAGGAACCTCATGAATTGCAGCAAAGTTAAGTGCCAAGTTCTGCAACTGGGGAGGAACCAACCAGGCACTAAGGCTGGGAGCCAATGTGTTCTAGTGAGATAAAACACCAACAGCCTCCTGGGCTACACAAGGCAGAGCACGGCCAGCAGGAGATGACTCTTCCCCTCTGCTCAGCCCTGGTGAGAGAGTTGAGTGAAGGACTACAGAGGTCATCAAGGATTTGGACCATATGTCACACAATGAGAGGCTGAGAGAGCTGGGACTGCTCAGCCTGGAGAAGAAAAGGCTCAGGCAGATCTTACCAATGCATTTAAATTTTGGGGGGGTGGAGGGA